GGACTTCTGCCTCCTGCCTGCATGTGCCTCCTCCCCGGGTGGGCTGAGGAGGGGGGCTGCATCTCCTGGGCTGCCTGCAGCATCCTCCCCTCTCCTGCAGATGTTTCGGCCTGAGCCTGACCTGCTGTGGAAGTTGGTGCCCTGAAGACCGAGACTGGGAGGGGAGGGTCATTCCAAGTGAAGCCTGTATATATCTTACCTTTTCTGTCTTGTGCAAACTGGGGTAGTGCAGAGGGTGCTTATTTCAAGTGAAGTGGGGAGGGGGTACCCGGCTGGGGCTTGTGTTGTGCAGAGGAACTTGCCCCAGGTGACTGATGCCTGCTGATAAGGCAAGCCTTGAACTGACTCTGGCTGCAGAAGCCACCAGTCTGGAAAGTACAGCTGAACTGCTCAGTCCTCCTTGCTGGACATCCTCCTCCCGATGGATGAGGCAGGATGAGCCAAGGGGGAAGGGGATGATATTGCCATATTATGATCTTGGTGCCTGCTCCTTCTTCTAGTGTTGTCTTCTGCAAGTTTGTTGATCTGGGTTTATTTAAAAGTTTATTTTCAAAAAAAAAAATACTTTGCACAACATAGTGGGTTTTTCTCTTGTTTGATTTTTTTTTTGTTGTTGTTTTTAAATTAAACACTCAATGCACTTGTCATCTGCATACAACACTGTAGCATTGGAAGCATTCTTAGTAACCTCATCTGGGTCTTGTTTTAAATTGCTTTAAACTCAAGACAGAAACCACTGTATCATCTTGCCTTGCTAAAAATGGGTGAAAACACTGTTCCTTACACAATGACTACATAAGACTTTACTACAAAAAGGCAGTTTAAAGAATCTAGATTTATTTAAAACTTATTTTCACAGGGTAGCCAGCCCAGGTGAAAATAACCATGCGTTTCTCTGGTTCAGAGAACAAATGTATCCATTATGTTTGTTTACTTTTCTCCCTCTTCCTCAACAGTGGTACTGAGACTGTTTATGTTTTTATTAAACTGACATGGCAAAAACTGAGATGTATATGATGTTTACATAAAATTATGAACTGTGTATGCAGTTTTTTATGTAAAGTATTAAAAGATTCTATGCTGACACTTGTGAGAGCAGTGTTGTGATTTATGGAGACTGTCCTCAGCTTGCAGTGAGAGTCCTGCGTGGTTTTGAACTGCACTAGAGTTTGTCTCCTGCCTCCACACGCTTCTGTTTGTATTTTCTCCACTGGCTGAAATACCTGTCCGGCAGCTTTCAGGGGGTGGTGGCTTTGTTTTCCTTTGGGGGAGCTACTTCCTTAATTTTCCTTCACAGATGGCAGCTGGAAGCGTACTCAAAACTCAAGGTGGTGACTAATCCATCCTTGTTGCTGTGAAGCACAAGAAGCCTCTGTGCCTTCTGCGTGGTGAGCTTGGGCTCAGGCTCCCAGTGCTCCTCCACGCTTGCTGCCTCTTGGTGAGCTTTGGCCTTGTGCTACCACAAAATTGTCAGAAAATTGAAAAGTAGCAATAGGGCTAATTTTTCAAGCAACATACTTGGAGAAAATCAGATTTTCATTAGCCGTCTCCCCTTTGCTTGGAGTGAATGCTCTTTTGCTGCAACGAACTGTTGACCTGGAAGTGGGAGGCTGTGCTAGCCTCTCTAGATTTCTTAATTGCTGGTCTCATTAATTCCCAAAGCAATGTAAAAAGCCTCAGCCTCCCTATGTCAGGGATTCCTGGCAGGGCATCGTTCCTGCCTCATCCTTTGCTGTCTCTGCGCTCTGAGCTCTGCTCCCTGCCACAGCTTGGCTGCCTGGGCTGGTGCAAAATGCATCCTGTGATTTTTTTTTAAATTTTTTTATTTTTCCCCTTGAGCAACGTGTGCAAAGTGCTGATGTCTCACTTTTTTTTTTTTTCCCCCACCTCCAGAAAAACTCCCATAGGTACCTATAAAGGAAATCTCAAGACAGTTTTATATTTTCATAAATCCTTTGGATTCCTTTTGCAGAGGTGTGAGAGTGGAGTTGAGCCTTTTGTTTTTTCTACCCTATGAATATCTGCTAGGGTGCACCGGGTTGTCCAGAGATGTTAACATATACCAAGGCAAGCAAAACACTTTTAGTGGCTTTTGCTCATTTGTTCGCAGGGGGCTCTGCCAGCCAGAAAGCAGTGGAGCTTTTCTGGCAGGTTAACATAGAAATAGCTGGCTTCTTATTTGACAACTGGAGAGTAAATCAGAAATAGCGTGGAGATACCTGGATCTGCGTTCTGAAGACTTCAAATGCTAAAGTACACGCTCAGTCCATGCCGTGAATTTGTAGCGTTGTTTCCTGTGATTCTTAATGAGGGATAGTGGCATTTTCACTTAAGGCAATTTAGCCAGGATTTCTTAAAAAGTCCCAGGTTCTAGGTACCTGTCTCCAAGGTTTTCAGTTCTCCTGATATTCAAAGGGTGAGTTTCTTATCTTCAGTTTGGGGACCCTAAGATCTCTTTGTGGTCCTAAAACATTCTTTGAAAAAAAATCTTAGTTTTGGATGTTTAAAGGCCCAGGGCTAAAGACCTCATTCTTGCAAAAGCACTCGACAGCCAGGTTCGGTGTGTGTAGCACTCTTCTACACTTTATTGGCTGGTGACGTTAAAATCAGCATTGGGAACTTTTTCCTTAAACTGCTTGCTATAGCTCCAAAATCTACATATTCTGTTAGACTGCAGTGATAACCAATCTTCTTAAAAACCCAGAGGAGAAAGTGTTAATATTTGTATTTTGAACACTGGGAAATGAGTTAGCATTGCATCCCTGTATAATTAACTATACCGATATTTTCCACTAAGGTGCTTACAAGGCAGTCACATTCATTATTTCCAGTTGGACCTTTGCCCAAGTCTGGGCTACAGCATCTGGCCCAAGAGGGAAAAGCTGCAAGAAAACACATTTCAGTTTTAACTGAGTGTGACCTTTCTCTACTACTTGTGAAGCTGTGAGTAAGCCGACAGGGTGAGGTCACTGTGTGGGAGTCCACCCGCCGGGGTCAGGTGGTGGGATCGCAGCTCTGTGCCACGTCGCTACGCTCGCTTTTTAGCGTCACCGCTTTGGTGGAGGGGGGACACGAGGTGTGGCTCATCCCACCCTCCTTGACTCAGCAGTGCTGACATGACTGGGCTGACATGGCCAGGACCACACCGACTGCGGCATGACAATGTCACACCGAACCAACTCCACCCCACGGCTCCATCTGCCCACCACTGGAGCCAGCCAGGTGCCTGAGCTTGGGACAGGTCTCCCCACGACCCACACCGTGTGTTCAGACAGAGGACTGATCTCATGCAGATCTCCCCTTGCTCTTCATCTGGTTCCCTCGCTCATGGTAATCTGGTCCCAGTCTGTCTTTTGACTGGAGATGAGGTGACAGCGAGCAAGTCAGAGCATCAGAAGAAGGTCAACTACCAACTCATCTCACAGTCCCTTTGCACACTGTTGGGCATGCAGAGACTTGTCCAGCTGTGTCCATGTGCCCACACAGATGTTCCCAAATGAGGAAAGGTTGCATGTTCCCTAAGTCTGTTCAGACCAAGTTCTGTCTCTGCGAAAGGTGTTTCTTCTGGTTGAGAGCCAGAGCTCTGTGAGGGGAGTTTGCTCTGTAACAGCACTGGTGAATCCTCAGCAAATCCTGAAAATATAGAAAAGCCTCACTGAAGGGCCAGTTGATCTTCGTCATTCTCAGTTCAAGTGGGGAGAACACTTCTGCACTCCCACCTTGAGACTGGGTTGGAGCTTGTGAGTGTGTCTCATCTGGGCACCCGGGAAATGAAGCCACCCAGGGAAGGTCAATATCGTCTTCTCATCTTCTGGAGATACAGCAACAGCAGCTGTGAGTAGTCCTGGCACGAGGAAATGGGGACTCTGTTCAAAAAGGATTCTCAGTAGGATGTATCAATAAAAGGATAGACTTTGGTGGGAGAAAGACATCAGTAAAAATTCTCATTGATTCTGGCAAAATGTTTTTTAATGCACTTATTATGCGATGAAATCAAAATGCCTCTTTTTTCTTCTTTTTTTCTTTTTCCTTTTTCCTTTTTCTTTTTTTCTTTTTCTTTTTTTTCCTTTTTTTCCCCTCTGTTTTCTTTTTTCTTTTGTTCATTTTTTTAAAGCAGGAGCAGAATTTGAAGCAATGTCCTCTTATATGGCTTTCTGGTTTCGCAGGAAAAAAAATTTAGGTCCATTTGCCTTGAACTGTGTCAGGCAGGTTGGAAGTCTGTTTTAGCAATTCAGTAAAGAATGGACACAAACTCACTGCAATAAGAAAAAGAAAAAAGTGCTTTGAGGAAGTCCACAAGTATTTTACTGGAATCAGTGTCACTAATTAATTCACTCACTGATTTTATTCCCTTACTTCAGAAAGGAAAAAAAAAGAAGTTTTATCCTTCTGATTTTAGTGGACTGTAGCACTAGTGAATCCGGTTCTTTTGGTTTTGCTGGTTCCGTAACAGTATCTATTCATAAATAGAAATTGCATTAATAATCCATTGAGCTAACTTACAAGGTCTATCTAAGACAAGTC